GAGGAGCTACCTGTCCAAAGGCTGGGAGGAGGGGGTCACCAGAAATGGGGGCGGGGGTCTTTTGCTTTGCAAAATAATGTATATTTTTATCTGATTGACTTTAAATGTCCATACCTGGGATTCCAATATTCAAAATTATCAAAGACATATATGTATGTATGTATGTATGTATGTATGTATGTATGTATATCTGAAATTACTTTAAAAATGTGATCCCCCGGGTATATCCATGTTCAAAGTCAGTCAACAGACGCGAGCACCAGGGAATGCAATAAATAATTTAATAATAATAATTTAGAGATAAAAGTTCTTCAGGATATTAAAAAACCTTTAAAACACATAGAAATCAATAAAAAGTGCCTAGCTTTCGTCGGCACCTGTCGACATCTTCAGGGCTTAGAATGCTGGTCAGTGGGAAAGTCCCTTTGTAGGTTGATTATTGATTTCTACGTGTTTTAAAGGTTTTTAATATCCTTAAGAACTTTTATCTCTAAATTATTATTATTATTAAATTATTTATTGCATTCCCTGGTGCTCACGTCTATTGACTGACTTTGAGTATGTATGTATGTATGTATATATGCCGGCTGATATGAGTTTACCCAGGAATCACCTTTCTGTTTTTAGTACTCTTAAAAATATGTATGTATGTATGTATGTATGTATGTATGTATGTGTATGTGTGTGTGTGTGTGTGTGTATGGATAGATAGACAGGCAGACAGATAGAAAAATGTAGATATAGATAGATATTAAACAGATAGAAATTAGAAAGATGATGGAGATTAAATAGAGAGAAAGAGAGATAGAAGATAGAGATTAAATAGAAATTAGAGAGAAAGAGAGTTAGAAGATAGAGATTAAATAGAAGATAGAGAAATAAATAGATATAGATAGATAAATAGATATATATAGAGATAGATAGATAGATAGATAGATAGATAGATAGATAGATAGATAGATAGATAGATAGATAGATAGATTCATTCCTTATACAGGGAGTCCTCGACTTACAACAGTTCGCTTAGGGACCATTCAAAGTTACAACGGCGCTGAAAACATTTGGGTCGTTTCTCTCACTTACGACCGTTGCAGCCATCCCCGTGGTCACGTGATCAAAATTCAGTTGTTTGGCAACTAAGTCGCATTTATGACGGTTGCAGTGTCCCAGGGGGGAAATGTCACGTGATTCCCCCCTTTTGCGACTTTCTGACCAGCAAAGTCAATGGGGAAGCCATTAGTGGGACTAATTTAACAACTGCGTTGATTTGCTTAACAGCCCTGGCAAGAAAGATCGTAAAAATGGGGCACACCTCACTTAGCGACATAAATTTGGGGCCAAGTTGTGGTCGTAAGCCGAGGACTGTCTGTATACATCTTACTTAGGACGATGCTTCCCAAAGAGAGGCCTGAGGGGAGACCCCCCCCAAGACCCTCTCGGGGGTCCTGGGAGACAAAATGATTTTGCACCCGTGTTGGGAGAGAAAAAATAACATATTGAATATCCCAGGCCAGCGTGGTGAGATGCGGTGGGGGGGGTGTCTCAAAGACGTCCTTTTTAACTCTTTTAATACAGCAAATATTGATAAATATTAACAACAATGTCAGAGTCACTCGACAGAAGGATGGGTGGGTGCCATGTAAAATAAATAAAATAAATCTGGTAGGCAACCTTAATCCGCATCTCTCCATCTCATTGCGCACAAGAGTTGCTTCATGTGTTCCTTTTTTTTCTAATTGAGTCAAAGTGCCCAGTTGGGCAGAATAACAAAAGTTGGAAGGGCCCTTGAAGGTCTTCTAGTCCAACCCCCCTGCTCAGGCAGGAAAGTCTACACCATTTCAGACAAAGGGTTGTCCGATCTCTTCTCAAAATCCTCCAGTGTTTAGAGCACCCACAACTTCTGGAGGCAAGTTGTCGTAATCTAACTGGTAAATTGCAGCTATGAACGTGGACCCAGGCTATCTTTCTTTGATATGAATGAATCTACTCCTGTGGACTGTCATATGGACCCACCCCACATGGAGAGTTTCTGCTCTGCTCTTCGCCTTGCTTGGTTTCGGGGCTTGCCTCCCTGTGATAAGAGGGCAGCGTGCTATTGAGGTGAAATCTGTGCCGAAAGGATCCTCGGCGTGGTTTTTCTTGCATACTTTCATTAGTCTTGGAGAAGGGTGTAGCTTGCATCCATATGCTTGTGGGTCTTTTCCATAAAGATGAAGGAGGCAAGGAATCTAAGCCTGAAGAGGTATGCTTTTTCTTTGGCTTGGGAATTTGTGCAACTTTCCCCTTCTCCCCCCCCCCCAAAAAAAAGGGGGAGAAGACTGGAAACCTTGAATGGCCTGACCCACAACGTGGGTGGGTTAGATCATTTTGCACATTTGGGCTCCCTTGGGAAAAGGATGGAGAGCAGTGTTGCGAGATTGTGTTCCTGAGTGATTCAGCATTGGAAATTAAGCTGTGTGGAGGGAGTGAACTCCTGTACTTAGGAATGCCGTGGTGTTGGAATGACTCACAGTGTTCTTGCTTTGTTTGCTTTCTTGTGTATTTATGATGACATCAATGTAGCTGCGTTTGAAATTAATCCATCTTATTATATTCCTGTAGCATTGACACTCTATTATATTCCTGTAGCATTGATACTATCTCAGTATTTCTGCATCCAAGGAGATAGTCAAGACAGCATGAATGGTCTATGTGCCTGACTAGATTCCAAGTGTGTGTGTATGTGTTTGTGTGTGTGTTTGTCCTCATACAGGGCCATCTTTCCAAGTAGTTGTTACGCTGTGGTCTCCACAACTTGCAAGCCAAGTCAAAGCAAGTGTTGTTCTTAGACCTTTCAGAGTAAAGTTTACTAAGACATAATTACTATACGCAGGCTGGTGTGGTAGCTTCAGCTTCTTCTGTTTTTACTCTACAATGTTTTGTTTCTTGGGGGAGGTAACTTGATATCCCCAAAAAATATATGCCAGGGTGAAAAACATAGCTGTGTTTTAAACAACTGGCCGAGAGCACAGGAAGGGACAAGCACTCCCTTGGAGTTGCTAAAGTGCTATTTTGAGGAGGCAAAAAATGGCTCGCTCAAACTTTTATTTTATTTCCCGGGCCTTCGGGCAGTTTTCGGCTGCAGTTCTCAAAATCAGAAAAGGATTTACGGATCTGTTATTTACGTTCAGCTTCCGGTAGAATGCTTTTGTGCGCTAGTGTTTTAGGACTGCATGTTCAGAAAAATCCCATTTTCTTTTAATAGCTGATCACAGTTGAAAATACACCCATAAGAAGCACACTTCTTCGTTTTCTCCTTGAAAAGAGAACATTTTCCGGACATGCAAGGGCTTTCCTTCCCTTTTTATTGGATAGTCTTTAATCAATGCCATTTCCCTTGCAGAGTAATGCTCAAGTTACCGGAAAGAAAGCCTGTGGGGTTGAGCCTTGCTTTTAACCACTGAAGTAGGAGCTTCTGCAAAATCTCTGTGAAAAAGCATCCAGTAACCTCATCTTGCAGACTCTTATTTATTTATTTGACGTGGTTCTACCCTACTCGCTTCCAGATAAGCCAGCCTGCGAGCGGTTAGCTTTCTTACTATAATTAACTCAGAGTCATCCCTGATCTCAGTCCACATACGCTTAATATAGGCTCAATTATAGACAAATCTTCGAACACAGCGAGCCAGAAACGTCTTAGAAGAGGACTTTGCTTTGCATCTAAAAATAGGGACGGTGGAAGCAAGAAACACGGCCGCTAAGTCCACGAATTTTAAACGGTGTTCTAGAAACAGTCACTGTGCCGATAACAAAATGCAGGCAGTCCTCAACTTATGAACACAATAGGGGGCCAGGATTTCCATCGCTAAGCAAGCTGGTTTACAAAGTGAATCAAGCTCCATTTTACGACTTTTTTTGGGGGGGCATAGTTGTTCAGCAAATCCCTGCCATTGTTAAGGGAATTGTGTGGCCATTAAGCAAACCAGGCTGTCACAAACGGAGGTCACGGGACTCTGGGAGGCTGCAACCCTCACACAAACACAGGCCGGTTGCCAAGCATTTGAATTTTGATCCCATAATTTTGGGGACACTGCAATGGTCCTAAATGCAAGGTCATAAGTCCCTTTTTTTAGAGCTGTTGTAGCTTTGAAACGAAGGAGGGGGGGGGGGTTAAGTTAAGAACTATTTTGTATATACGAATCGCCAAGCAAGCCACACATCCCCTTATTAAAAATCTAAAAGGTATTATTTCAGAAATTGGAGAACGGCGCAGTGTCAGTTCCAGATTATTCTAGTGTCCTTTATCCCCCTCTCCCCCCCCCCAAAAAGTGGCAGCCATCGTAGGAGAAGGTGAATTCGAAGAGGGAAAGTTATTCTCTCTTCCCTCTTTTGGGTTTCAGTTTCATTATGTAGAGAACTGTGGAGGGGGAAACAAAAAGAGCAGAAACGAAATAAGGTCGCAGCAGTCAGAGCAGAAATGAAATAAGGTCGTAGCAGTCAGGACGGTATTCAAATTGCCGCCTGGCTCTGTTTTTCCTGAAATTATTTCAGCCCGACACCTCTCCCTGATCGTAGGTCTTGGGAGAGAGCTGATTTTCGGGAAACAAACCCCCCTCCCAGCCTCTAAACCTGAAAGATACGGGATCTGTCTCCTTGTTTGGGGCTCTTTGATATCTCTTCATTGTCTAATTTTCTCCCTAAGATGTTCACACGGAAAATCGGAGGTTGGAACCATTCCCGACACATCACATATAGACTGTTTGATTTTATGCCCCTACATTGTTTGGCTCCTGATTGACAATCCCAGGGAGGGTTGCGTTTCCGAGGCATAACCGCGCACTCATCCTAAAAAGATGGGCCAGCCCTCCCGTGCAGACCTTGCCAAGCCGATGAAGAGGTCTCACTGTGCACAATTTTTTTTTGTGTGTGTGTTTTTTTATCAGTGGCAACACAACTTTCATCTACGTGAAGGGCTGCTTTATATTCCAGACAGCATCCTCATTTTTGCTTTCTGGAGCTATTCCCTGAATTAATGCAATGCTTTATGTTTGCAGCGCCTGCAACTCCCTTATAGTAAGGACTCCACGGACTTCACAAGTTCGGTCTGCACCAATTTGGGACCGGCATTGTGTCCCCTCAGTGTGTTAATGCTAGAAGGTTTTTCTCTACCCGAGCGCATTGATTTCTGCTGCTCAGTTGTTGTAGGGGAAACCTAATGAATGCAATACAGAGAGTCCTCAACTTACAACAATGGGTTTGTAGCCAGGGAGAGAAATTACTCTTCGTTCAAGCCATCGGTCATAAATGGCATCGCAATTGGGCAGCTTCATTAACATTTGCCACACTTCCAATTTAGTCCCGTAGTTTCCGTTTTATTTTATTTTATTGACAGAGCATTTCATTCTTTTCCTTTTTTTGGACAGAGCATTTAATTTGCAAACATGGTTTGGTGCTGACAACAGATTTCTTTTTTTTTTTCTGGTATCTTTTCACTAAGTTAAACTTTCTGTCTTTTTAACCTCCTTTCATCATACAGTGTTTCTCAACCTTGACAATTTTAAGGCATGTGGACTTCAACTCCCATGGCTGTGGAATTCTGGGAGTTGAAGTCCACATGCCTTAAAATTGTCAAGGTTGAGAAACACTGATTCTAATAGAAATTGGCTCGGCTTCCGTTTTGCCTCCCACTTTGCACTGGCCTGGCTGACACCCTGTATTGAAACTAAAAAATTAATTTTCCCAAGTATCTTTTTTAGGAGGAGAAAGAGACACTTAGGAGAGGGGCAACAGCTTTTGTCCCCGTTGTTTTTGTCAGTCTTCCGTTCCCCTATAAAATGTTGCAAAGGGGAACCCCTGTTTGAAATTGCTGGTTTGTGTGGTCCAACTAAAATCGATGTCTCCACTGGGTTGGGTCTATATGTCCCCTAAGAGGGATTTGATTTGACGTCTTCTGTGGTTCCTTTCTCAGCAGAGTTTCCCCGCCATTCTCCAGCATGGCCTCCTCTTCCTCAACGCCTCGGTGCAACTCAAACTCCTTGGAAAGTGCCTCCATTAAAAAAGTGAGTGTCTTCCTGGGCTTCTTTGAGATGAGATATTTGTTAAGTGTTAACAAGTGGCTGTCAGAACTGCTCTGTGCGGATTACACCTGTGGGATCTTGCCCACAAAGCAAAAATGCTGATGTTGATCTTGTTATTTCTCCCTCTCAGCCCGTGAAAGACAGAACTAAATGGGAAGACAGTGAAGAAATTCCTCGTCTGCCAGGGGAAAATAGAGTCACAGGTAAACACAGAGTCCCTAGGGTGCACAGGTAGACCTCGGCTTACAACCGTTCCAGCATCTGCTCAAAATTACCGCAGCAATGGAAAAAAAGTGTCTTACAAACAGTCCTCACACTTACAACCGTCACAGCATCCCCAGTCAGGAGATCAGAAATTAGGCGCTTGGCAGCCAGCCGGTATTTATGACAATTGCAGCATCGTAGCTCATTATTTGTGACCTTCCCAGGCAGCTTCTGACAAGCAGAGTCAGTAGTGGGGGAAAGCGGGATTCGCTTAACAGCCTTGCGATTCGCTTAACGACAGCAGCAAAAAAAAAAGTCATAAAATTGAACACAACTCACTTAACGGCTGCCGTGCTTAGCAACAGAAAATTCTGGTCGTAAGTTGAGGGCTACTTGTAACCGCTCGCTCCCAAACCCAAATTGCTTAATTCAGAAAGAATAAAGCGATGTGCTGTCGAAGGATAACATGCCTGAATCTTATAGCACCCTGTATAGCTCAGAAATAACCATTCAGCTAGATTGCTCTGCTTTTGTTGCATTTGTTGCGCCTTTGAAGCGTATTCAGAGTCAGTTTGGGTGGAGAGGGATCCATTTCCAAAGGATCTTGTCGATCCTTCACTATGTAGTCAAAAGCGGGTTAGGTTTCCCTCAAGAGTCGCACAAAATCCCTTTCATTTGGCCAGGGATCCAGAAATAACTAAATTTATGTCTTCTCCCTAAAACTCACAAGCATACTTACAATTTTACTTTCATTTGATCGGCCACGATAGCGTTTGAGCCTTTCCATACATCCTCTGCTAATCAATGCTGCTAGAGAAATGGGCCTTTTTAGAATTCCAAAGGCAAATTCAGAAAATTCTACTATGCTTTAGTAACGAGGAGGAATTTCATATTTTTCTAAAAAAAAAAAAAGTCTGCGCGTGCTTGCCTTTTCAGCTGTGAAAAAGGTTATCCGAACTAAATTCCAGTCGCACAGCACAAGATCCTCCGTTAATGATAGTTCATTTCGCTTCCGGGTTCCCCAGTAATCTCTGCCTTTTTTTTTAATCTCATGTTATTGTCTTGATTGCCTGGCCATATTTTAAATGCAAAGCTGCTCTTTCTTCCACAGACAAGGAAGTCATTTACATGTGTCCCTTCAACGGTCCTGTTAAAGGGAGAGTCTCCATCACAAACTACAGACTCTATTTGAGAAGCGTGGAATCGGTAAGCAAACTTTACCGGGCCTGTTGTGTGTTGGAGGCGACTGCTGGGATGGCTTCTCGGCCGGGTTGACCTCAGCCGAGTGGCATTTTGCAGTTGGTGAGGTAGTTGGTACCTGCTGTTGTCAGATTCAGAATTACGACAGGTGTGTTCATAAGGCAGTCCTAGGCTGCACTAACAGAGGGATAGAATCAAGATCACATGAAGTGTTAAGACCACTTTATAATGCCTTGGTAAGGCCGCACTTGGAATATGGCGTCCAGTTTTAGTTGCCACGATATAAAAAAAAGAGGTTCAGACTAGAAAGAGTGAAGAGAAGAGCAACAAAGATGATTAGGGGACTGGAGGCTAAAACATATAAAGAAGGGTTGCAGGAATTGGGTATGTCTAGTAAAAAGAAGGACCGGTTCCAATATTTGAGGGGCTGCCACAAAGAGGAGGGGGTCAACCTATTTTCCAAAGCACCAAAAGGCAGAAGAATCAAGGAGAACGGCTTCCCTCCATAAATTGTGGGTGCTCCATCACTGGAGGTTTTTAAGAAGACATTCGTTTTTAAGAAGACATTCATTCATCTGAAATGGTATAGGGTCTCCTGCTTGAGCAGGGGGTTGGACTAGAAGACCTCCAAGGTCCTCCCAACCCTATTATTTTGCTATTCTGTCCACCTCCAGTGATCTGAACGGAGTAGGAATCGATGGCTTGTTTTCTTCTCTGGAAGGAAGTTAGCTCAGCCTGGTAACTGGATGGAAAACAAGATTCTCTAGCTGTGAACCAGATGCTTCTAAGCCAAATTCTCCCTTTCAATCCAGGGCTTTAGACATGTGTTTCTACTTGCCCACAAGTGCATCAGGATTGCAAAAGAGATTAAGGGCTCTGGAGACCAGTTTTTTTAGCCTGATGCTATCTCTGAAGCTTTGAGTCACGAGTCCCTTTGCGGTCTCTTGGTCAAAGCAAAGAATGGAATAGTCCAAATGTATTGTCCAGCCCAAGGGACACTCACCCACCCTCTGTTTTTCTTGAATTCCGAAAGCTGTACAGCTAATCCTCGACTTACAATCATAATGGAGCCCACCGCTTAGTCGTTCTGGTCATTAAGCAGGTCATCCCATGATCCTGGCCAGTTTTATGAGCTTTTTTGCAGGGAACGTAAAGGAAACGCCGCAGTCGTTAAACGAGCACTGCCGTTGATAAGCGAACCAATTCACTAAGGCTTTTTTTCTTTTTGCCAGAAACCAGACGTAAGTGCCCATTTCCCGCAAAAATCACATAAACGGTTGCCAAGCTCCCTAAACGCTGTCACAGGACCGCATTTTAAATCGGGGTTGTAAGTAGCTCTAGGACAGGGGTAGGCAACCTTGGCTCTTTTATGACTCATGGACTTCAACTCCCAGAGTTCCTGAGCCAGCATGGCTCAGCTTGGAAATCTCTCCCTTTCCCCTCAGCATGGCTGGCTCAGGAATTCTGGGAGTTGAAGTCCACGAGTCATAAAAGAGCCAAGGTTGCCTACCTCTGGCCTAGGCCTAGGCCACTTTATGACTCGTGGACTTCAACTCCCAGAATTTCTGAGCCAGCATGGGGGGAACTGTGGCCCCTTCATGACTCGTGGACTTCAACTCCCATAATTTCTGAGCCAGCATGGGGGGAACTGTGGCTCCTTCATGACTTGCGGACTTCAACTCCCAGAATTCCTGAGCCAGCCTGGCTCAGCTTGGAAACCTCTCCCTTTCCCCTCAGCATGGCTGGCTCAGGAATTCTGGGAGTTGAAGTCCACCAGTCATAAAAGAGCCAAGGTTGCCTACCTCTGGCCTAGGCCTAGGCCACTTTATGACTCGTGGACTTCAACTCCCAGAATTCCTGAGCCAGCATGGGGGGAACTGTGGCCCCTTCATGACTCGTGGACTTCAACTCCCATAATTCCTGAGCCAGCATGGGGGGAACTGTGGCTCCTTCATGACTTGCGGACTTCAACTCCCAGAATTCCTGAGCCAGCCTGGCTCAGCTTGGAAATCTCTCCCTTTCCCCTCAGCATGGCTGGCTCAGGAATTCTGGGAGTTGAAGTCCACCAGTCATAAAAGAGCCAAGGTTGCCTACCTCTGCTCTAGGAAGATCCGTTGTAACGTCAAACACTCACCAACTAGTCATAAGCTGAGGACTGCCTGCGTTTCCCTTTTTATATCCTCCTCTGATGACCAGAGTGCTAGCTGAGATACAGGGCAGAATTTTAATTTTTTAAAGGTCAGGTCTCTTGAAATTTCCTGGGATGGTTATAGTTGCAGTAGGTAGCAATTTAGTAGATATTTATTAAATGCTTCGTGTTGACGGCTGTTTTATACTGATGCTTCTTGCCTCAGTGGCCCATTAAGGCTGTTTTTGTTTTTTTTAAAATCTGACAGCGTCCATCCCACTAAATTGATACCTTTGTTAGCTTTCAAGATACAAAAGGTTTTATGACAAACGGAGGTACGGAAATGCAATCTGTTAGGAATCCTCTCTTTTAACGTGATCTTTACCTTTTTATCTATTCAGGATCCAATCGTGGTATTAGACGTGCCTTTGGGGGTTATTTCAAGGATTGAGAAAATGGGGGGTGCTTCGAGCAGAGGAGAGAATTCGTACGGATTAGATATTACCTGTAAGGTGAGACTTCAAAATAACGTTGATACTTTCTTACATGAGATAACGTAACCAAGAGAATTTGAAAATAAGGATTTCCCCCACAACAGAAACCCTGTGAGGTGGGCTGGGCTGAATTTGAATAGAGTTCTTAAAAGCAGAAAGGGTGGCACCCCGTGTTCTTGGTAGGACCAAAGTCTACAGTTAGACAAGTAGATATTGTGGGGGGGGGGAAAGGGGGGGCTACGTGGCCCATCTCTGACTTAAAACCTCACTTTTCAGTTCAGAAAGCTGCTAGAGCAAATTACCTAACATTAATCCTGGACTGCATGCATTTGTTTTTGTTTTGTTTGTTTTTTTAAAAAATGTGTGGGTTTGTTTTAAATTGTAGGATATGAGGAATTTACGCTTTGCTTTGAAACAAGAAGGTCACAGCAGAAGAGACATATTCGAGCTCCTGACAAAATACGCTTTTCCACAGTCGCATAACTTGGTAAACTCTTTTGAATTTATTTTGTGGTGGTTGCGGGGTGTGTGTGGTTTGCCTACAGTACATAAAAGCAAATTTGGGAATCGTTTTCACACTTGACTCTTAGCTTTGCTGCCTGTTCTGACAGTGTTGTGTACAACTAAAAACATTTAAAAACGACAAGGATAAAGGAAATACGGTATTTTTCCTGGATTCGTTAGGGTGTTTACTAGTAGGTGTTTACTACTGTAGTCTTACCTGAGGGGGGGAATGACTTCTCTTCCTAAAGGATGTAATTTCCTTTATATTTTGGCTCTTGTCAATGTTTTGGGACATTCTTCAGCCTCACGAGGTTCTCTCCTTTAATGAAAAAGGTAAACTCTCTTTGGCTGTATGTTTCTCTTGAGTAAAATAAAAACACATTTCCGGTGGGAAAGTTAACCCTTTTGTGTAATGAAGAACGTAGGTCAAGCAGATTGTTTGGCATCTGTCAAGCGGTGAATGCTCCAACACTGGAAGTTTTTAAGAAGAGACTGGACAGCCATTTGTCTGAAATGGTATAGAGTTACCTGCCTGAGCAGGGGGTTGGACTAGATGACCTCCAAGGTCCCTTCCAACTTTACCATTATTATTATTATTATTATTATTATTATTATTATTATTATTATTATTATTATTATTATTATTATTATTATTATTATTATTATTATTATTATTATTATTATTATTATTATTATTATTATTATCTTGAATCTGCTCTCTTTTTTCCCCCTGGCATTCCATTTTCTCATTTTTCTTGTTCTCCCTTTCAGCCTTTCTTTGCTTTTCTGAATGAAGAGAAGTTTGCTGAAAGCGGCTGGCTGGTTTACAACCCTATGGTTGAATACAGAAGACATGTAAGCTCATTTTTTTTCTCTTCTCCGTTGCATTCAGTCCTCCACCCTCGTTTTTCAGGTTTTCTGTATATATTTTTCTTTCTCTTCTGTGGCCAAATTGAACTGAGAGAACAGAAAACAGGCAGCGTGTTATTTTTTATTTTTAAGATACGACAAAAGCAAGCAAGTGAAGTGGGATGGATAAATGAGTAGGAAGGTAGATGCCTGTGTGTCATCTAGAACAGATTTTTATAAAATAAAACCTTGACGTTCTGTATTACGTTGTTGCTTTACGTTGTAAAGCATTTGGGTCAGGCTTAAAGAAAAGTGAGAATTCAGATCAGCAAATACGCCGGTTTATTTATTCATTAAATTTATATGCTGCCCATCTCACTGTGCCAAGCAACTCTGACATGTAAAGAAATGGGTGTTATTCATTTTATTCATCCCATTTGTTACGAAGGAGAAATGTAAGAAAAGGATTTTGTCTAGAGACCTGTAAGGTCATCTTGTCTTGAGCAATTTAGTTTTGCTGTCTGAGCACGGAAGCTTCTTCAATGTCATTTATTCTTAAATGTGTAATAAATATTTAAAACACAAAAGGAGGATATTGGCTTGCCAGATGCTACTGAGCTACAATTCCCACCAGGTCCCGCCAGCCTTATGAATGGTCAGGGAACCTGGGAGTTGTAGGCCGACGTAGGAGAAATTTTGAATTCCTTTAAATTGGAAACCAGCACTGGAGCACAAATGGGTTTTGCTGATTGATAAACAAAGGCAAGTCTAAAGGGAGGAGAGATTATAGTCCCTCCTTAAAGTGTATGCAAATTGCAATAAACTCGGCAACTCTCTTCCACCCAGAACATCTGACTTCCCACCCATGTTGTAGAGGAAGGTGCTTCCCCGTGGTTACTCTCCATTGCTATTTTTAGTACTCTTTTGGGCAAGTCTTAAAAAATTATATTTTTTCCTGTAGAAGAGTTTCTGTTTTTTCCAAGAATGAATGTCCGACACTCTTGTGTATATTCCGGTATCAGCTAATCAGAAAAAAAAAATCTGGTGTTGCCAAGCAGGCTTACAATTGTTGTTTTTAGTTGCGAAGTCGTGTCCAACCCATTGCGACCCCATGGACAATGTTCCTCCAGGCCTTCCTGTCCTCTACCATCTTCTGGAGTCCATCTAAGCTCACGCCTACTGCTTCCGTGACTCCATCCAGCCATCTCACTCTCTGTCGTCCCCTTCTTCTATTGCCCTCCATCTTTCCCAGCATCAGACTCTTCTCCAGTGAGTCCTTCCTTCTCATTAGGTGGCCAAAGTATTTGAGTTTCAACTTCAGGATCTGGCCTTCTAAAAAACAGTCAGGGTGGATCTCCTCTAGGACTGACCGTTTTACAATAACATCAATAAAAACAGGGAGGGAAAACTCACCGGCGTTTTGTCTTAAACCTCCCATCTGTTACTCTGGGTCCCCAACCGTAGAGATACTTTTTTTTATTATTATTATTATTAT